AGATTACTAGCCATTTCAATCCCGTTGCCAATCATGGTGCTTCGTTATGTTTCTGTTCCTGGGTGTCCGTGCTGCCTGTCTGCCACATTTCTTCATTGGCCAATAGATTGATGTTAAAGGGAAAACCAACCGTCAGGAAAAAACCGAGAAAGACGAAATACACAAAAGAACAAAACAGGAACGGGGCAAAAGGGAGAATCTTCCAGCGACTAATGCAGCCAAGCGCTCCAAGATTTCTGGAGGATTCCAGCGCGGGAGGGGGTCTGGCAATGGCGCCTGAGCGATCAAAGGCCATGTGCTTCTGAACCAGAAACCCCGGAAATTCCCTCCCACCCTTTTCACATAAAACCTCACGTTCCGGGGGTCCTGGTTTGAATCATCTTCCTGTTGAAGGGACCTCTTTTGAAGGGACCCCCGAACGTTCCATGTTCATTGGTGGGGATGGTACAGTGGATGGACAAACTCCACATCGCACCAACGGTCTGTCCAGTATTCATGATCTTGGCCCAACTCTGGGCTACGCTAAAAATATGATCTTGAGATTCTGCTCCATATTCAGTAAGCCCTTGACATATAGTAAACCTTCTGAGGAGACCTTGCGTGTTTACATATATAGTTATATATACAATATTATAGTATATATCCTATTGGTAGGGGATTCATTGCAGGGGCACATGTCCATGATCACGCAGCTTTTCCACTTGAAATAATGATACATTGGGCAAACATGGGAAACCATGGCCTGTGGTTGAATTGAAACATTTAGACATTTCACCAAAGCAAGAAGAGTTCAACTGCCAAGCGACGGTTCAGGTGTGGATTAAAGATATTATAACAAACAAACAAACAAACAAACAAACAAACAAACAAACAAACAAACATGATGTCACTTTGAGAAGGCCCTGTAACTTACTGAGAAGCCTGGGTCCTCAACATGCCAGGCTGGGCCCTTCATGAGGTTTCTCCACTTCGGGGTAGCCGGCGCACAGCTATCAACGGCCCTCTGCAGAGATACTGTGCATGGACGCAATCCATTTTGCACCACTTGGAAACCAGGGCAAACCATATCGTTTGCTTGAATTTACAGGGGAAGCATCATTCCAGGGTCTGTTAGGTGGTGCGAAATGGATTTTGTCCATCCGCAGTAGCGCAGGTCACTAGATGCGATGGATGCACGGGCACGGCCGATGCCACGGCTCGTTCACCGCCAGATTGGGCTGATCCGATTCTCTTGGCCCCTGCAGTGGATGCCCGGATTATCAGCGAGTAGGGGAACAAGGCACCCGAATTGTGCCACCCGTTCTTTCTATTTGGGGGGGGTTCAAACAAAAGAAACACCCTGCCAATCTTCCATCTATGGGGGAGGTCCAAAGAAATCTCCGAATTTGCAAACCCCACGTTCTTCGTCCTCCGCCCTCTCCTGGCTTGGCTGCTGTGGACCCCTCTGCAAAGAGTTTGACTTGTGTGGGTCCAGTTGAGAAAATCCAGGCTTCAACCAAAAACATGTTGAAGTCCAAAAATCCGCTACCCGATGCACATCAACTACACTGCTCTTCCCAAGAAGCACGCCCAGAAACCTGTAAAGCGAAAGAAGGACTCGGCGAATGATTTCGATGCCCTCACTTCCCGAGCAGAAAGTCGAAACAACAAAGTTCAAGCTTGTTCTTTGCCACTAAAATGGCAAAAAAGTGAGGAACGTTCTAGAGGGGCAATTCCCCATTCTTTTCAACCATCCGGAGGTTTTCTAGAAAGATTCGTATCCCTGGAAAGAATGGGGAAGGTAGCCTTAGAAAAGTCCGGGTCTCCCGCGCCTCGCCCACCTCGGCCGCGCGGCGCGCCAAGGCTTGGCACATCTCCCAGCTGGCCGTCGGAGACGCCTCCGAACCCAAAAGGGGTCTGAAGCTGCATGTTCTCCTTGTACATGAATGGCAAAACTGGCATTTGCCAAAGTTTGGTCTGGAACACCACGGGATGCAACTCTGCTCAACCTTCCCCACTAACCGATAGATGGGGATGGGGCTCAAGGTCCGGGACCCACTTACATTTATCTCCCCATAAAAGGACTGGTACCTCTCCATGGAGATCTCCAGTCCTTTTCTCCCGCTGTGATATTTCTCCAACGGACATTGGGCACCTCGAAATGAAGAGGAACATTTATCCTACTAAAAACCCAGGTTGAAAGGGGTGATTTTTTTGCAACGGACTTTGGAAACCTCGAAATGAAGAGGTAAAATGGGTTTCGGGGTGGAAGCCCCCTTAAGCCAACATGTAGAGAATACACATGGAACCGTTCGACGGAAAGGGTCCCTTTAAAAAGAAAATGGTCCAAACCAGGACCCCCTGAACCTTCATGTTAGTTGTTGTTCCTGGCCTGGCCTCAGATCGCCTGCGTTCTAGTGACTCAGTTTTTTAGTGGCTTAAACGGCAACTCCAACACCAAGCCCTGAAAAGCTAAAATTCCAGAGGATGGCTGAGAGCCTCCAAGGTGAATCCAGGGTATTTATTACGAACTTGACTTCCATGGAGCCCCAAAGCCAGGCTTGCGCGCCTAGTGGTGCAGACATCTGAAAACTGGGATGCTCCAAGCCAGTTTATGCTTTTAGTAATTAGGCTTCATGGAAAAGCGATATGCTTCCAAAAGGTCTATGTTGCTCAAGGTCACATGAAATAACCGGCCAAGCTAAACTAAGATCGCTGGATGGTGATTGGATACTTCAAAGTGGGTAACATTGTGCCCGAGAAACAGCATGGAAGCCAAGCACGTTCAAGTCAGGGTCGCCGTCGACGTTGCTGCATTTGCAGTTCATTGAACTTCACAACCCTTGGTATGGGCTTGCAAAAAACCTTGCTTCAGTTTGCAGCCCCCTATCGAAAAACTGCGGGGAAAAAAACTGAACACCTTGATCCAAGTGACCAGTGACCGGTGCACGAAGCTCCATTTTCTGCTCATTCGAAGACACCCCACCGAGGTGACGATCTTTGCAGCTTCGGGGATCTAAAATCGACACCGACGGCACCGAAACCGCCTTAGGTTTGGTTTCAATGGACCCAAGCAGATCCTGAACCACCTGGCTTGCGAGGAACCGGATTTTCTAAATCAGCTCATAAACAAGTAAGATTCAGTTGTTCCAACTGGTGTCTCCTTGGGAAAAGCAATACCTGGAGTTTGTTGCGAAAGCCTTTAGTGACTTGGAACGGATGGGAACCCCTTTGGCCAATTAGGCTTCATTGAGTGCTCTCAATGTGCAATGGCCTGCCATCGAAATTCTTCAAGGATTCGCAGCTTTCGGGGGGTTGTCTCGAAAACCAAATGGCAGGGTCTCTTTTCGAATTCCCCTGACACCAGCCGGCAAGGGCTCCCTCCCATCAACCACATCCACATTGCCCGGAAGAGTGATCAGCCCAGTATTTGTTGTTCTCGGCTTACATCTACTAGGTTTACTGAGTATATCCGTGCTTCTGCTGTCCGAGTATTTGTTTGGTTTGGTTGTGTGGTCGATTTCCTGGAGAGCGTTATATCTTCTGGTCGTATGCTGACATGAAAGAGAGGGAGTGAGTCTCATCTTCTGATCTGTGTCTTTATACGTGACTCTTTGCTCATTATGTCTTCATGCGCCATTCATATCTTCCGCTTTGTACATGCTTGATCTTCAAACCAAACAAACAATTACGATGCTCAAGCCTCATACCAATAGTGTTGCATGCACAACCACGGCGCTCTGGTCAGAGCCGTTCCTTGTGGCTTATCACGGACTCTCAGCAAATGCTAAGCTGTTCTATCTCGCGTTGGCTCCTTCTGTGAAACTAGTATGCGCTGGGTAGCACCTACTAATAGGGCAGGTTCATTCATCCGGAGTCAACATTGGAGGCGACAAGAGCCAGACCAGAAACAGGGCTTTCCTCAACCCCCCTGCTAAAAGTTTCACTTCCAGTGGGTTTCGTGCTCAACTGCTTAACTTTCAGTGGGTTTAGTGGAACCCCAAGCACTAAACCGACCCTAGGTCCTCCAGTGGAGATAATAGAATAAGGGTACCAACGTTTTTTGATTTTTTTTTATGTGGTCTATTTTAGTAGGGAATTTCACCCTCCCAACCAAAACAGGGGTAAGAAAGGGCACCTAGCTAGGGCACCTTGGACCAAGAACCGAAGGAACCACCTGGCTGACCTTGCCAAAGAGACGTGCCTTGAGCGCCCGCCAGCGCAGCAGCAGCAGCACCCACTCCGCCACCGCGGGGGGCTGGCTGCTCTGTAAGGCCAGCGCCAAGGCCTCCGCGCAGATTTTCGTTTTAACCCAACGGAGTGGCGGAAGAAAACAACTACCTAGCGTCTCCATGAACTCGTGTTGTTTAGCCCAGGTGAGTCATACAAACCGGCAAGAGGTACTAAATTGGGCAACCTAGCGTCTCCTTCTGACCCTTCAAAAATGGTTGGTCATTACCCCAAATAATGGTTGATCATGGGCCTAGTTTTAAAGGGTGGAGACTTTAGGTAGGTCCTCCAGTAAAGAGCTTAGAATAAGGTACCAACCTTTTTTTGCAGTCTGAGTGGCGGTTGGGGGTTGAGCCTGCTTTTGGAGGGTCAGGGACCCTCAAACCCCACAGAAAATAGAATTCACCCCTTACTTTCAGGGCAGAAACCTTTTTGAAAGGTATTTTACGGTTCCCGGAAATCGAAGCCCCAAGAAAAGATCAAGTATCTTTTTGGATGTTCACGGCGAAGCGTTTGGAAAGCTCTCTTTTCCGGTTTTTATGAAAGGGCACGTCCCAAGGAACCGGGAAATGCTTCCCCCTCTCTGGAGATCTGGCAAAAAAGGTAGGAAACCCGGGGCACTGCCTCACTAGCATGGAGTAAGGATCACTTCTCGGCCCGAACCAGGGTCATTGAGGCCTGATGATTTGCGGAAAGGTGTGAGGTCAAGACTTCGGCCAAGATCTCATGGCTAGGTCCTTCAGTAGAGAGGTTAGAATAAGGGCTACCAACCTTTTTTCTGTAGTCTATTGGGAACCCTCCCCTTAAAAAAAAAAAAAAAACGGCGCTACGGCCGCGCCTTGAGCTGAGAGATGCCGTGAAAGGATGAGGTCATGTACCCCAACACGCGGCGAAAGGGACCATGAGTATACTTCCCAAACTGATCCAAACTGGAACCTAGGGAATCCCCGACTCAAGTTCTGCGCCACCGAAACTTGATGCTAATCATTATAATCAGTGGGCCCCTAGGGTGGCTCGACAAGGGTCTGCCCTTCACCGTTTTCTTCGGGTCCTTTTGCATACCTGACCCCTCAAGATACCCTCAAAAACAGCCTCTTGCAACTCAAAATCATGGAATTGGCGACGTTCCATTTTTTAAGGCTCATTTTGGTGTTGAAAAACCCACATGTTTCAACTGGTTGCAAGCAAAACGGCTCGATCTTTTTTCAGGAGCCCTGTTTCAAGGATCCCCTTCAGCAAACACGTCTCACGTCCATCGCAGAGCTGAGCGCCTCGAAGACGACATGGATCTTTGTGTCGTCGGATCGGGGTACAGGGCACCACCTGGCGCCGTAAAGAGCGCGAAAAACTACGGCCCTGGTCCTGTAGAGAGGTTGGAAGAAGGGTACCTGGAGTCTCCATGGTCCATGGCCCGTCATGAAACTAGGTCCATGACCCCGTTATTTCGATGATTTTGGGTAATACCCCTAGAAAAAGGGGTGATCACCCCTGATTTTGAGCAATGACCAACAATTTTTAAAGGGTCAGAGGGAGACTTTAGGTGTTCGTGGGGTCAAAGGAAAACCAACTTGACTTGATTTTTCAAAGATCCTACAGTAGATGGACGAAATATTCAAACCCCTGACATAAGGTTTCTGTATGTACACCCCGCGCCCCAGATCTCAATGTTGAAATGTCAGCGCTGACTTTATGTTAGTGGGGTTTGATTTGTTTTGTCCAGTGGGCCCTTGTCCCTGCAACACATTCTAATATTGAGATTTGGGGGCGGGGGGGATAGATTCATACTCGAGGGTTTGAATATTTCGTCCATCTACGGTACTGGCCGGTGGGTGACCTGGGTTGTTTGACCGCAACTTTTTGGACCACGCGCGAAAGTGGCAGGCAGGAGTTTTGGTAATTCCTTAATTCCTAATTCAAGCACAGATATCGCTACAGCGAAGTTGCCAGCGCGGATCTGAGACGGCGCTGCTCGAAAGGCAGCAGGGTGTTCCAGGATGCCAGGGCTTGCCAGTCTGACGCGCTGAGCTCATTGACATGCAGCGCACCTAGCGCAGCAATCTCCCTGGCCAGTTGCTTTACCTTTGGCAAAGGCAAGTTGGCCTTGGCGGCCAAGGTGCCCATCCCTGCCAAATCCGCTGCGTCCTGGTCTGCACGCTCTTGCGGTAGAGTTGTAGCCAGTGAAGTCATCAGCGCCTGCTTGGCATCGAACTCAGCTGCTCCATCTTGAATCCAGCCGCACATGCACCTTGCGCATGGCGCTGTGTCCTTCAAGTTTTTGATCTGGGCGACGCAGTGAAAGAGCAGCAGCCGGCTCTTCATATGCCGGATGCTTTTTCCTCGTCCACGCCAGGCATCGGCGTCCATAAGGACTCTGCCTTTGCCGTGAGAACGCAGCCATGACGCCACTCAAAGTCAACATTGCCGTCATTGAAGGACTGAGAGACTTGCACCTCGAACGGCTGTCCCTGGAACAGGCTGAGGAAAGCGCTGACCGGCACAGTCCTGTGGCCGTACTCCACTGGCCGGTAGTCGTCCCAAAGCAGGAAACGCTTTTCTTTAAGAATGTTCCGCAGGGCGAAGGATGAGCCTAGCGCCGGCTTGTGGAACACTCGAGCGAAGCCGAAGAGGTCGTCAAACGGCAGCACCAAAGTAGTTTTTCCCGAGTTGGTCGGCCCAACGATCATCGGGGTCCGTGTTGTCTTGGATGGGCCGGAGACGATGATGCTCCGCAGGGCGCCCGCGAGGTCAGCACGGCTCAAAGTTCCTGAGTTCGCCTCGAAAAACAGAGAAGCAGCTGCGGCGTAGTTGCACGATTGTCCGTGTGGGCAGGCCTGGCTGGCAGTTTGACAGAGCAGGTCCCACTCCGTCTGGCGATCAGCTGCTGCTTGTGCCCTTGCCTGCCCCCACTCATGAGCATCTGCCAGATACTCCTTCAAGTACTTCTGGCGCTGGTGCACAAAGAGCTGCATTGCCTCGGTGCCACGGTTTTGGACGTGCTCCAGCAGAGCGGCTTGAGTTTTCAGGCCTCGGGCGAGGATAATGGCAGTCAGGTCGAGCTTGTTGAACTTTGCCCTTTTAGCCGAACTGGCCCCGGATGCTTTCATGTCAGCTTCCTCCTTTCTCTTCTTCCAGATGTCAGCATTCCACGGGCGCTGAGATTCAGCGAACAAGTCCAAAGCATCCCACCCGCCGACTTGGCACCATGAGACCGGCTCCGCATCTACAACTGGCCTGGCCACGGTGGGCATGTAGCCATAACGGACTGCGCTCCAGAACTGCGTGTGGTTGCTGGAGAAGTGCGCGGCAAGGTGGTCCCTCGTTCGAAGAGTCTGCTTCGCCAGCCCAAACGTCAGAGACTTGTTCAGCCGGACAGCAACATGGTAGTGATTGGTGCCATCGCTGTGTGCTTCTTGGAAGACTGCGAGCTTCTTGACCATGCCACCTGCCTGCGATCGCGGGCGGCCTGGGCCTGCAATAGCCAGCGGCTCATCAAAGGACAGCCGAACGCAATCTGCAACCTCCCTACGAGACATGGTAGAGATGTCTCGAAGGTCCGTGGCATCCAAGGTGCCAGGAAGAACTCTGGAAATGGTGACGAGGTGCACCACTGTCTTGAAAGTGTTGGCTTCCTCACCAAGAGCGCTCACAATGGCCTTCATGCTTGCTGCAGGCGTAGGGTCCGCTGAACGCTTGGCCAGAGCCTCAGAAACCCAAGTTCTGAATGCGTCTGCCTTGTTGTCCAGACCATGATCAGCAATTCCAAGTTGACGAGACACAGACTTCCGGAACTCGGCGACGGACACCTCTGACAGCTTTATGGACGGCAGTCGCTCATCTATTGCAGCCCGCGCCTGCAGTTCCAGCTGGTCTGCATCCATGTGGCCAGCATGGGGCTCTGTCTCACTCATTGCCGCAAATGCTTGGGCAAAGAACTCACAAGGTGAAAACAAGCAAGGGCTCCCTGGCAAACGAGGCAAGATGCGGGTGATCAACAGCATTGTAGATGGGCACTTGGACCGACCGCATACATGAGCTGAAAAGACACGCGTGAGCATGAGAGAAGCATGTCGACGAGTTGAGCTGACCGGGGTGTATTCCTTGGCGTTGCAGACGACAGCGAATTTACTGACTTTTTTTCCAGAGCCAACTTGCGGCGACCGTGAATTTACGGAGTTTTTCCATAGCCAAATTGCGGCGACCATGAATTTACTAAGGCTTTCCATAGCCAAATTGCGGCGGCCGTGAATTTGCTGTTTTTTTCCATAGCCAAATTGCGACGAGCGTGAGTTGCTTACAAAACTTCCCCATAGCCATTTCATAGCCATTTCCATAGCCATTTCCAGAAAACACTAGCCCTGCCGATGAATGGAGGAAATTTCCCTGCTCTAGAAGAAAAACAAAGATTTTCTCCTTTATTCAAAAAAGGAAAGCCAACTTTGCTGGATTCACTGGCAGGGCTAGGGTTTGCTGGAAATGGCTATGGAAATGGCTATGGAAATGGCTATGGAATGGCTATGGAATGGCTATGCGATGGCTCTGAAAAGGCTATGAGAGGGCGCCAACAGAGCACGAAGCAAAAGACACTGGTAGATGGGCAGGAGCGTGCTTCGAGATCACGGAAGGCCTGCGCAGGCATAGCACGTACGCAGCTTTGAACGTCAAATTCATGAGTGGTTGAGCAAACTGCAAGCCGTGAATTTCTTCTAGCAAGCGAGAATACTGCCATATGCGCATGACTTCTGGTGTTCAGGCGCTAAACGCTCAAGACTGCAAGCCGCCCTCAGGAAAGTGGCTTCCGCCAGCTGCCAGGACCTGTTGGACACGGCCAGCCATGGCACCCACGATGCTGTTGATGTAGTCGTTGGACAAGCCGAGGGCTGTTCGCCGAAGACGTGCCAGGTAGGCGGCTCGAGTCTCTCTTTTGCTCGTTGGCCACTTGCTCTCCTTCTCCCGCATCTTCTTATTCACGGCGGCCCACAAGCTGAAGTCTAGGGGGTTGAGGTCGGGAGACCGCTTTGGCAAGTCCAACGTCACGATGCCTGCGGCGGACTTGGCTGCCATAGCTCTGCCGCACTTGTAGCCGCTGGGGTCGTTGTCCTCCATGACCCGCCAGCTTCCGCAAACATGTGGGTACTCCTTCTCCAGAGCTTTCCGCAAGGGCTCGGAGTACATGTGTTCAGCGGCTTCTCCATTCCACTTGCCCTTCGTGACGTGCCACATTAGGACCTTGCCGTCGGGCTTGGTGTAGCCGGTCGTGAAAACTCTGCGCCTTGAGCGGTATGCTCCGCGAACCTGCCGCCGAGCCGCGTAGTCACGCGCCTTACCCGTGTGGTAGACTTGGAAGGTCTTGTTGTCAATGATGGCGTGGACGTACTTACTCCACTGCTGCGGGCTTCTGTGGCGGTGCTCCTCCGCCCACTCCTTGCGTTCCTTGACATCTGCCGCAGAAAGGTCTGGCTTTTCATACAAAGGACGGAAGTAAATGCCGCGGGACCAGAAGGCACGGCTCAAGGTTTTGAGGCTGCACTTCAACTTCATCTCACGCTTGACCATGGCCACCGTGACCTCTTTCCCCTTTGACTCACGCAGGAGTTTCTGGTACACCTTCTGGATCTGCTTAAAGCTCTGCTCCGAAATGGCGACCGGGCGACCGGTGGGCTTGGTCTTCTTGTTGTTCTTCTTAAAGACGTGCTTCGACACGGTGTCCGTAGAACGCCCAATGGCTGAAGCTATCTTCTTGATGCCCATGCCCTCCGCGTGCATGTTTTTCATCAATACATCTTCCTCCGGGGAGACGTGCTGGAAGCCATCATTGTCCTTCTTGGGCTTTTTCATCGCCAGCGGGGCAATGACTTTCTGGATGGCTTTCGTCCCATAGCCAAGTAGTTTCATCCGGCCTGCAAACTGCTTGAGCAGCTCCGACTTCAAAGCCATGGTCTGTAGGCGAAGGAAAGGTGCTGCAGGCTTGTTGTTTGAGCTAACGGCTGCGCATGCGCAGGGTTAAGCTCCAAGCACAATGCTGCGACGCAGGAGTGCGCTAGTTGGTGTCCAACCAAAACGCTAGCACACAATGCAGAGCAGCCCAGCCTGAAGCGGGCGCCCTGCTGCGGCTGTTGAAGATCATCACCTTTGGAACGCAAAGTTTACGCAGAACGCCGTCTGCAGCCCTCGACGCCATAGAGGGGGGATGGTTGGCTCGTGGCGCTGGAAGCAGATTGGACTCGACGGGTTTGTGTTGCAGAGTTGGGAGACCTTC